AATCTTAAATTAATTGAATAATTATCAACATTTGTCATAAAGAGCTTTCGTGCTCAAGACTCATACAAGACCCTGCAAACAAGACTTTAATTTGATTTGCAATCTTTACAGACTGCAAAACATTCCCTCTTTGCTATAAATTTTCCAAGATGTATTACATGTGTTGCATGCGTGCACAATGCACACTGGTTATTGTTCACACCTTGACAACATGTAAGTTAAATTAAAGAATCTACGCACATAAGGAGGCATGTTAGAGGAAACTAGAAGTAACTATATGTTAAAACAAGGTACCGTACAAAGCAAAGTTTTAAACTCCACTACTTGCTATTTTAAATGCAAGCTCTTCTTGGTTAAACAATCAGGCCGCATCAATGTTTACATCTGAAGAAATGAAAGAAAACCGTCCCAACTCACCGTGGAGCTTGTTCTGACAGGCAGGGAAACGAGTTATCGAGTCCCTTGAATTCTTGCGAAAAATCCGGGATTTTCACCTTGCTTTCTTCGTGTACATGTCGATGTGGTTGCAAAGATGCGGCGAAAATCCTCGAAACTCCTCGACTGGCTTTGGAAATACGCCCAGACAAAAGACAATAACCGATTCGAATCATGTTGATTCTTCAAGACCTGCTGATCGATTTTGTACTCCAATTCTTGCGTTCAACATCACGATCAGCAACATGGGTATTTGTAGAAACAGTTTTCATGGCAATGCTTCACTCTCCTCAACACACCGATGATGATAAAGCATTTTCTTTTTGTCACGTCAACGACGTGACTTCTTATATAGATTTTCATCTGCTTTGTTTATTTATACTCTGGGGAGGTTCATGGGAAATAATGAAAGTACGTGATGAGCACGTGCTCAATCGGGTAAAGTCCAGAGTACTAAAATTAATAAAGTGCTTGTAAAAGGAGTACTTGTTCTGTAATGCTAAATAACTCTCCAAATTTTCTTGCTCACTGGGTGAACGAAGGGAATTGCATGATCACCACGTGAAGAACGGAAAAATGATTTCGTTGAAATATCAGCAGCCCCGCTGACCATACGTCACCATAGGCGTTGGCTATGTGCACATCTGAGTTCACGTTTCGCCCCCGGGGGGTTTCGCATGTTTTTGATCAGTTCAAGCAGGATTAACTGCATTTCAGTGTAGCAGTGGTTTATAGGATGAGAAAGGGATGTTCGGCAACAGCGGCGGGTTGAATCTGTCTTTGGGACGTCGCTTAGTTTCACCTATGTATTGTAAATGGCAGCGTTTACACTGTATCATGTAGATTAAATTGTTGGTGTTACAGGTTATGTAGCTTTTATGTCTTTTATATGTGTGAAGTGATGTGACGGGTTTTGCTTGTGGAGAAAAAAGCATAGCGGAAGGAACCAGGTGGTAATGGCTCTGTCAATTCCAATTCCGCTCATGCCCTCCCCTCTTCCCCGGGCATTTGACGGCCATTTGACATTTTGTTTTCAGAAGGTGGCAAATACCCCATCGTGGGGAAGCTGGCGCACACAAAATCCCCATGCTTGGCGGAGAAAACTGAGAAAACTGCAAATGCCCTATCCGTGGGATAGCGTCAAAATTATCTTTTATAGCGATTTTGCTGTGTACTCGTGAGTGCTAATGCAACGTGAAAAACTGAAAGCATCTTCTAATATTGGATAAATAGCCGACTGTTATTCATGAACTCAGCTTTATGGTATGTCATTGTATAAAGCCCATTGAAACTGATTCAAACATTTTCAGAAGTACTGCACACCGGTTTGCGCAAAGAAAAAGACTAACTCGCAAAGACGATGTTTGCAGAGAAAACGTATTGAAAGAAGGCTTATCCCTTCAAACAAAAATACGATCTGTTTTTATTTTAAAAATATCCACAACTTAACTTCCAAGGTTATTATGAAACCTTCGAGGCCCTTTTGTCTTGTCCATCGACCCACACCATACTTGCTTCTCGCCTCAATTCTCTCGCACATGAAAGACCAACATGAATTTGGGGGACGGTGGTGGGGCACGAGCTACTTGCAATGGGTTAAATCTCAGAAAAAGAATTTACATCTACGTTTTTGAGTTATTTAAAAAAAAAGTGAGTGAGTGCGTGCGTGCGTGCGTGCGTGCGTGAGTGAGTGAGTGAGTGAGTGAGTGAGTGAGTGAGTGAGTGAGAGATGTATTAATATCACACCAATCAGATTGGATCTACTATATACAGCCAATCAAATTTCTTGTTGTAAAGGTAAATGGTTTGTGAGAAGATTTGATCCTGATACAGTTCAGAACGGCCATATTTATTCTCCGGCTTCTATAAAAGAGGAGGAAGTATTCATATAGTGGGCTTACTTCGACATTTTCTGTGGGTTAGGCTGAGGATTATGTGGGCGGGTTTGATCAGTAATCATTTGCAACTGGATAATCAATCAAAGAAACATACTGTTTGGCATATAACTACGAGAATGCGATGAAGGGTGAGCTTTTCCCACTAGATAAGTTTTTGAATTGAGTCTTAGCCGCCCTATTGCTAGGTTTAAGATGTAAATGAAAAACAAGTTGAAGTGGTTTCTATGATAGGATCAATTGTATTTTAGGGGGATGGAATGCACTACTGGGAATATGAAGAAGTTGTGACCAGGTTCAAATCGTTTGCGTGTTGTATATTGAAACCTAAGTATTGCTGCAGAGTTCGTAATGAGTATTCCGGGCGTGTCGTTAATTTCAGCATCCATTGATAAGTTTCAATGTGAAAAGCGAAGAGACTACGATTAATTTGGTCAACAGAACAAAAAGATATTAT